CAAACAAAAACCCCGCCGGCGGAGGTGGTTGATCGAGATTATATATAATTGTGTTGTATTTGAGTTCGGATTTGACAGTTTGAATTATTTTCGACGCCATTCGAGTGTTCAGCGGATTATTGCTGTGAATCGAACGGAAGCAAATCCACCCATAAATCCCGTGTAAGTCAAGTACACATTATTTCGACGGAGATAATTGTAAGTAATGAGTCGTGATGTCGATTTATAGTGTATACATATAACGTCAATACGATATTTTGTAATTCGGTTTGAAACACACTCCAAACTCTCATACCGTTATGTATGTATAAGCGCATTTGTTTGCTTACAATATTATTTAAGCTTTCAAGCTGTTGGGGCGTATTATGAAGATTATAGAAAATCGTATTTTGATAAAGTGAAGAGTTCGTGACAATCAAGAGCTCTGATATTATTTTTCGTCAAAACGTCGACCGTAGATTTTAGTCTCAAAATGTCTTATTTTTATTTTGATGTTATTGTAGTATTATTGTATTATTATTGTTCATCATGTATTTGTTTCCCCACGGCATTGGGCAAAATATCCAACAAGTATAGGATTAACAATTCATATTGAATAATACATTGAAAATAACGCGATTAGAAAAAATATTAATAATACCATTATTTTTGTGAATCTTAAATAATTCTGAAAACTTAATTCAATCAATCGAGTTGAAAACAAATTTGAAAAAATATTTAATCTGCCAATATGATAACTAGGGCTCGGATTTATATGTATTTATTTAACCAGAGTATGTATTTATGCAGCAAAAATATGTACATAAATATGTGCTAAAAAATTTATAATATGTATTATCAAAAAAAAAAATATTATTATTAATTAAAATGAAATGTAATAAAAAAAATTATTTATCTAACTATCTAATTATTATGGTTACAATTAATAATGACATGCATTTTTAAATTTTCGAATTCGAAAGATGGCCGATTATGTCGTAAAATTGATCTATATCGACTGAAAGATCTCTCAACTTCGACTGATGTTATAGGACAATATTGCACGTTGACTATGTCTGAAGGAGAAAGTTCTACAGTATTATTTTGTACTTTTTAAACATGGGCAAGTCTGTATTAATAAATAATAAATCGTAAATGAACAAATTATCGAAATATGTAGGAAAAATGGAATTATTGAGAAATATGTAAAAACATGTACTTATGGCAAAATATGTAAAAATATGTAAAATAAAATATAGTTCATTTTATTGGAAATCCCTTGAAACGAATTTATCACTTACCTAAATTAATTTATCAAATCACAGTAAAAATATGTATTTACATATAAATCCGAGCCCTAATGATAACCAAATGTCAACAATAGTCATTATATTCGTATAAAAAGTAGTTTTTCATAAAATAATAATTTATTATAATATATAGTCGTTATTATAAACTTTTAACAATCATATTCACACAATCTAAACATAATGAATATTTTTTTAAACTTTGTATTCTCCATATTTCGTTTTTAATTGCATTTTTTTCTATCGGTTGGTTTTTAACCCTGGATTTTTTATAATCAAATATATTTTGACTTGAATATTTTAGTATTCACCAGGATATTTTTTTCTGGATATTTTTACCGGGATTTTCCTTTTATATGCATAATAGCTCTTTCTAAATATAAAATACGAATTAAGACTGTGTTGCTCGTGATTCTCTCGATCGTGTAACAATATTATTCTGCAGATAAACAAAATTCAAAATTCGAAATAAAACGATTTGCGCTTTGGGTACTACATAGGAGTCTAATGTAACCAGAATGGATCCCCCACGAAAACAATGAAGAACACAATAATATAATACTATTATTACTATGCCTGTCAATTATCACGCAATAAAATTATCATAAATTTATTTTATTATAATATTGTTATTTGTTATGAGTCACGGTATAGACCAGCATACCGGTATGTTGACCTTCAAAAGTCGAGTAACGTCTATCGAAAAGTCAATTGAGAAAATACGTATAATACCGGGGAAGTTTGAAGACTGCAGACAAAGATTATTGCAAATTTATACCGAAAGTGTTGGCAACTCAAAGAAAACTCGTATAGTCACTTCACACTCTTCGACCTACACGCTTGTCGATATTATTTTGAACAAACGCTTTTTTTTATATATAAAACCCACACAGGAGGTACCAGTATAATCGACAGCCAGACGCGCTCGTCGTGACGATTGTCCAATTTATGCAAAATGAAAAAAAAAATGTTATTATTAATGTTAATTATTTACGCGATGCCCATTATTGTTCGTCGTCGAACTGTGTTTTTTTTTTTATTATCAACTGCATTATTGTTTTTATTTTTTATTGGGCACGGATCGTTGATTTTGAAACAGATTTGACGCCGATACCTACAAATGCCCCAATTATCTCACTTTCGTTTTTCACATACTATAATATTACATAGGCACTCGTTGTTAACCTTCAACCATATCGAAAAGCCGATAGAGAAAAAAACTTAAAATAGGAATTTACGCACCGGGAAATTTTGAAGACGAACAAAATTTGTGTCAAGTTTACATAGAAAGTGCGACTTTAAGACAAATTATTACGGTCGCTATACCTACATAATATTATACTGTACGACCCAAACACGTCTTCAACCATGCTTGTCAATAATATTTTGGACACTCGTTTTTTTTTTATAAGACCCGTATTATAATAGATACCTATATAGTCATAGTATAATCGATAGCCAGTCGCGCTCGTCTTCACTCGTAACGACTGTCCAATTTATGCAGGATAGGAAAAAAAAAGGTTAGGTTAGGATAAAAAAAAAGTTGAGGATTAATTATTTACGCGGCGCCCGCTATTGTTCGTCCTTTCACTGGGGGTTTTTTTTTTATCAACTATACGTGTAATTTTTATTTTTGTTATAGGTCCTTGATGTTCAATAAATTTGACATGTTCTACGCCAATATTTACACGTGTTTTTTTTGTTTCACACATTGTCATGTATACCTTGGTATCCTATAATAATCTAACCTAGGTATATTAGCTGTGGTAGACGCGCGGATGATAATAATATTATTATACGTACACTTTTATTTTATTATTCAACTCGCACATACCAACGATCGGATTTTACAAGCAACAAAAATGTTTTGTTTTTAATTTTTGCCCTTTTGTAAACAGCGAAGATACGTGGAGTTCATAAACATTAAACAAAGTTATGAATGCGTGTCTTGAGAGGAGTATAATATGCGAATAATCTCAGTAATCTCACAAGTGAATACCTATATCATTTTACCACCAAAAATGATTAATAATTTCAATTTTCGAAAACAGTTTGGATACGCCATTATACTTGAATATTGTATGATAACACACACATACATGTCGAGTTAATTAATATCTATTTAGAGTATTTAGACTGTTGTAGGAATACGACCGAAAATAATGATGGTCAGTCCACCGTAATATTAGATAAAGGATGGATAAAATAATAATCTTAAAGGATTTGTGTATAATGTTGTCCTGGAAGAAATAATGTTTTGTAATAGAAATTATGATACACCAAATAAATAAATGAGTTGATAAAATAATAATTTCTGTATTTTTGAACAATAGACATAATTTACTTTTAAAAACGATTGGTTATTACTTATTATATAGGTATACACTGTAAGTACACATTTCTTTTTTAAATATTTTTGAGGAATTCATTTTTATTATAAGTTATAACAATAATTTTTAATATTTTTAAAAACATGATATTAGCAAGTATAAAAAAATGAAATTAACTTTTTAAAGTGTACATCACTTTGTTTGTAACATTTGATTTAAACTATCCATTGCACTTTTATATATTTTTATTTTATAACAACCTTTAACGTAATAATACAAAATTTATAAAAATCAAATATGTACATTGAAAATATTTGTATGTACTAAAATGAATAAAAATACCAACTAAAACATTCTGTGAAAGGTTTTCATCAATTTCCAATAGATAAAAACTATGGTGAAAAAATATTTTTTTTTTAATGCGAAGTATTATCAAAAATGATAAAATACTAATATTAACATAGATCTATAAAATACGTAGATATTTTTTTAATGTTTAACATCTCTCAAATGCATATTTTATTTTAAGCAATCAATAATAATTTAAATATTATATTTATGTATTTATTATTTAAATTAATATCAATAGATTAAAACAAATATATCTAATAGATTCAAATAATTTAAAGTACAAAATGACAATATGATGTTATGTTGGTAATTATTTTTTTTTGTAACACAATACTTTATTTTTGTATTTAAAAAAAAATGAAACTTTCTGTTAGTATCATATTTTTTTATTTTGACTGAAAATGTCAAAAAAAAACTATTTATTAAAACTTGATAACCTGCTACTGAAATAATATAGGTATTATTATATTAGTATAAAAATATAATTTTTGAGGTCATGTTCTCAATCTGCAGCAACGCTCGCAGCCCGTACCGTCCCTTGTTGCTAGCACTCGGATGATTGACCACGCGGGTTTTTTGTACACATCAATGCCACACTTACAAACTTGTTCCCACCAACCATCCCCCCACACAGTACTAGGCTAATGACTTAAGTAGTTGAAGCCTAAATCCAATATATATATATGTTATATAATATTACCTACTATTATGTACCTACTTACAACAGTATAATAATATTTTATAGGCACTCAAGAATCAAATATTATAATAACCTACATGTATTATATTATTCAAATAACAATGAGAAAAATAAATAAATAATTCTTAAGTCCAAAGGTATTGTGTTTTTTTTTGTGAACATGTTTTTAAAACTATTTCCGATTTAAGAGGTTAAGTCAAGTATTGATAGCTTATTTGCATTAACAGGAAAAAAATCAAACATATTTTATGGTATAACAGCAATTTATAAGTATATTTTATATCGTATTATATAAAAATAAAATTTAATAATAATATTTATAAGTCATATTACCGAGGTTTGTCGTCACAGTTGCAACAGATGGTGTGGAGTGTTTGACGATGTGACAGCTTGGTCGTCGTTTGTCGACTGTGGATCTCGGTGAAGCTGTGGACCGATTACGGCTCTTGGTGGACGGGCGTTAGTCGCTTCGTTGTCGCCCAGAACGCCCGGATGGTCCTATGGGAACGCACGAACTCCCGGCTGGCGGGTTGGGGTGGCCGCACCCTCCACCCTCAGCACCCCACGCGATCTCTACCCCCGACCCCTGACCATACACCCACCGACTGTCTATATGGTGCGCACGCACCCGCCACCGCCGTTGCGTTGTGCCCGGGACCCATACCCACCTGCAGTCATCATCCCTTGTCATAACCCTTTCTTCCACGGCCACCACCGCTGCAGCCTACGCATAAAGGTACAATATTTTAACAATTTAATAAATATTAGTATAAGTACTTTATGCCTGCAGTATATGTGGAATGATTTCGCAGAGTTTTGGATGGGTTTTTTTTCTCTCGCGATGCCATGTTGCACCCCCCCCCCCCCCCCCTGATTCGAATGGTGTAACACGTTTCGGGTGTATGTACATTCGAGTTGACTTCTTTGTTTGGCGTCATCGTTATTTTGACGTTTTATTGACTTCTATTTATGCTATATACACATTATGAGCAATAGCATATAATAATGAGCCGCAATGGACCTATAGTGGCTTTATACGGGTCCTATTCGTTTCCGACTACAAAATTCAAATAAACTCTATTTTATTTACGTCTCCTGGAATTTATTTCAACGGATCATTTTATCATTTTGTCAATTATTTTCTTACATCCAAATTATAATAGATAATACAATTTTAATTTCCATCAGGCACCAGGCGTAGAGTTGAGTAGTTGACCATCAATCTTGCAAACATAAAGTCACCTGGTGCTATGTATACCATCCACTAATACTGATCTCAATTATTTCTATTATAAATCTAAATATATAAACACAATGATAGATACAAATGTATACAAATTGGTACACTAAAAAATCGATTGATTAAATCCTAAGTTAGAATAATGTAATATTGTGCTTTTTATATGCGTTATCAGAACATAACTTCAACTTTATACATTTTACGTTCTTGTATTACTATCTCAATCTACACGATGATACCTAGAAAATTCAAATACTTACACAATTAAAATGTTAAGTCTATGACATTGAACGATCTGTGTGAAACATGTTAGTCTTAAATTGGAAGGCAAATATGTGCCATAAATGATCAAATTTAATTTTAACTAACAATTAAAAAACAAAAATTATAAGAATTAAATCTGTCAAAAAAAATAATGTCTGTGAAACTTGCGTTTATGTTAAGGGTAAAAAATAACGGTGCAGGTAGAAGTTACAAAAAAAATATATAATCGTTGGCATTAAAAATCACCTTGTTTTGATATATCAATGTTTTATCCTCGACCTACTTGGCCTTCGTCAATATAATCGTATAGGAAGTTTACTTATTACTTAAATTTATCATTACCAAATATTGTAATATTATTATTTGTCCGTATACAATACATAATAGGTAATATAATATTATGATTAACAGGTGGTTTCGGCGGTGTCGGTTATTCCAGAATTATTCCGTACCCGCTAACATTGGACGATATGAATGTGTGATACTTATAATAATTATAATGAATTCTAAACTAATTAATAATCGTTAACCATAATGTTTTAGATTCTGATCAGAGCTATGAATGTATTGATTTATATAAAATGGTGTGTGTATTTTTTAAGAATAATTAGGAAAAATTATGAAAATTGGGGACAGCGACTATACCAATATTAGACAAAACTTATACTTATTGTTTTTTAGGTCGAACTCAAAAACTAATAACGTTACCTACATATTTAAATTCCCCAATTGTTTATATTAAGATTTTCACATTTTTACATTTAATATCATTTCAATATTTTAATGAAGAATAACGATTTTAGGTAGTTTTGTTTTTGATTTTAAAATATTGTAAATTGTACTAGAAAAACTTAACGCAGATTAATGTGTTCTATTTTATATTTTATACACTCAATGATTTTTTCAGATGCATTGTTTTTGGTAATAATTAATTCAACTTACTCGGTGTGAAATAAGTTACAACACACAACTTACTTTAATAGCAATACAAAAAAAACCAAATCATTAAACTTACTTGATATAGAGCAGAGGGCTGTCTTCGCTCAGAATCTGTTTTTGTATGTACAGTTCAAATTTAACTCGTCCATTACAGTGGCCCACAGTACAAGAGAAGGCGGTACTCACTTAACCACCTTTTTTAGATTCTGAGCTGTGCAATAAATGTATTGATTTTACAATGAAATGTGTGTGTGTGTTTGGTATAAACGGAAAGTAATCGAAATAAGTCTTTGATTTTAAACTTCAGTGTCTTTTATGGTGGGGAAGTGAATCAAGTTGGTACATTAGAGAGGTCAAAACGAAAAATTCCCCGAAGATTTCATAAGCCTTGAATAACCAACCAAAAATAATAAGGAAAATTAGAGGGTATACTGCATACTACGACTTACTTTGCATATACTGCAGTATTTGGCAAAATCGGTTCAGTTTTTTTTGTGTCACCAAAAAACTAATTACCTAATTACCGTAATACATTTAATTTTCATGAGATTTTAAGATTGTCATTTTCAATACACCATTACATTTGTGAATATTTATATTTTATATTTTGATTCTTTTTGAGCTATTTATAAGTACCTTTAAGAAAATTTCGATTTTTTAATTATTGTCGTAAATGTTTTTCGATTGGTCAAAATACTTGTTAATTTAAATCTTCCTCATAAGTTGTTGTTCATGAAAGTTAAAATAAAAAGTTGATCGTGAATTCACAATATTTTTTTATGAACGCCTGAAATTAGAATTTTGACAATATTTTCTTTTAAGTTAAAAACAAATAACAGTACCTAGATACATGATATTTTCACCAAAATATGTATGCTTATTTTATCATTTTCAAATTATTAAACCATTATTAAATCATTGTCGTTTTAGTTTTGAGCAATTTATAAAAATGTTTAATGCATCTTTTGTTCATAAATGTCAATTAAATTATTTTTGTTAGGGCAAAATACTTGAACACAAACAAAGTTCTACATAATTTATTTCAATCTTAGTTAAAAAGAAATATATTATAGACACATAGAATCTTTTTTTAAGTATTTAATGTTTAAAATTTCCCGAAATTGGTGTCCAAATCTTTAAAAATTTTCAAGTTATTTTGAAGTCGCAAGCTTATAATGTAATTAAATAATTCATAGCCAATAATTGAAAATTTAAAACAAAGTAACTCTTAATAAAAATCAATAGTCAACAAAAAATCTAAAAAATATATTATATGAATACACAGTTTTTCGTATTGTCATTTTAAGTTCAAATTTGGACGAAATTAGATATTATTAAACTAAGAATATCGATCTTAGTTATTTTGTTATAATTAACAAATAGTATTATAATATAGGTTAACTAATAACATGCAGTCTCTACTCAAAATCGTTTTTTGTATGAAATGATATTATAGCATTGAATTCAAATTTAACGCCTTCCATCAGGATTATTGTATTCTATTTACTCTACAACGTTAACTATAACTCTAATCATTAATCAATTTTTTTATTTATTAATTTTTTTTTTCATAAAAATCAAACCATTTTTAATTTTAACTTCAGCATTTTAGGTATTCATTATCGGGGTCAGCCACTGCTGAGATTATTGAGCGTTGACGGACTTGCCTTTTCAGTAAGCGTATTTATAATCATATTCCAAACAACATTTAATCTTCTATAATGTGTAAAAATGCGTCAGGGTCACCGATAGGTGATAATATCTGGGGTAGCATTTGTCGTTGCGTGTTATTATGTATCATCGTCCCTTCCCTTAATTTCGGGCTTATTTTTATTTCTTGTGTGAATAATTATTACCGTTTAATTGAAGGGTACATTATTGTTTTGTTTCTTATTATTTACGGTGCATTCGAATTGAGCCCCCCCCCCCCCCAAAAAAAAACACAATTTGAGTTTGTACTGGTTGAGTACTGCAACTTATATTTTTTTCATCTGAATCAAGTCCTGAGTTTTTCAATTTCTTGTCTGAATTGGGTCCCGATTTATATAACAGTATATATTCGTTGACTTTCGGCTTATTGAATTATAATAAATACGATGTTAAATTATTAATAGAACATATTGATAATAAAGAATTGAAAAGAAAAGCTAAAGACAATATTTGTGAAAGGTCATCTAATCTAAATTTATACAAATATTGAGATTGCTACTAATGATATTGATACTAATTAGAAAAAGGTCTTCGTTATCAGCTATTAGTTATTACCAATTATACATTTTATTTGAATATGTATAGTCAACATCTATAAGGAGAACTCATTTGTTATATCCATAGTCAGTTTTATTTTATGGAACTTAACTGTTATAAACAGAATGTTTTTCTGATATTCAATTACCTAGTACGTTTTTTATAGTTTTGGTATGCTAAACGTTTGAATTTTAAATGTCGAGATTAAAAAACCCTTCTTAAGTATTTAAATTTCAATTAAATATTCACACATTATAGTTTACAAAAACGCTGAACAAGGGTAAAATGGCAAATTTTTAGATATCCAAGTTTAAAGATCAAACTTAATTAAATAATAGAAAAGTCGTTCAGAAACATAAATCGAATCGTATGAATGCTGCTGTGTGGATGGTTTGACCAACACAGTTACTCAACATTGAAGAAAGCTTCTAAATCGTTAATCCGTGTCAAATAAACTACCCCACCCCTCCCTAGGGAAAACAACTCTTGGATTGTCACTGACAATATTTCAACACTTCGAATATTGTTTTTTTCCAAATTGTCAAAACGTCTCTTAAAATCGCTCGTCCAATATCATGTTTACCTATAAGTACTTCTACCGTTGAAATAAACCATAATATTACTAAGAGCTTACCAAATAAAAATCTACTGTTCGAGTTTTAAAATCTCCAGTTATCCTTTTTAGCAATGGAATCATGCTTTGATAAGAGTTGAAAGTGTATAAGATACGTAAATATTGAAATATTTTGTTAGATTTCTAGACAATTTTAGTATTAATCTTGCAGAAAATAATTATTTAATTATTACTATTAATATATTATTCATGACTACTTTAATGTG